TAAAAAACTTCAAAAGGATGAGACTTCTGCTAAAAACATTAAATAAATTTTGCATAACTATTCTGCATTGAGGAAGTTATATAAAAGGATATATGGGCCAACATATCGGCTGATATATCGATCATGTCAGAGATATATTGCTGAAAATGTATATATCGATCATGTCAGAGATATATTGCTGAAAATTGTGAAAAAAGTGGTAAAGGAAATGTAAACCATACCATTTTGCGGCAAGCCTTTTAAAGGACATATTGGCCGATATATTAGCTATATCTGGGATATTTAAAACTATATTTTTTACCCTCTGAGAATTGCTAAACTTTTCCTGGATAGAAGAAAATTTATCAATGTTTTTACTGGAAAAAATGCAAAAGTTAAACCTTTAGAGAAATAAAGAAAGAACCTACCAAGAAAGGCATTTTAAAAATTTTATTAAAAGAAAATCTGTGCTAGATTGCTTTCATAATTCGGCTGACTGTATTCACCAACTGGCATAATTCTTGCTTTTAGCTGAGGAAAAACCGCAGTCATTGAGCATCTCATTTGAATGTACCCTTCCCCCCCCAGCCCCCCCCCCCCCCGCCCCGCCCCGCCCCCCACCCCCCCGCCCCCCCCCCATCCCCCCCCCCCCCCTTCACTCGTGATATATAGGAATTACACTGTTCTGTGAATGTATGCCTATTTCTACGCGCTGTTAGACTTGTTTCTGTTTTGTGCTTGTTGGGGCACAATGTTCAAACATCATACTTCTGTATTTTGACATGAATGCCTCAATTGTGTATTGAGACGACTCAAATGACAATGCTAGAAAGTGCTTATCATTCTTGTTATCATGCAAAGTTTAATGCCTTTTTTGTTGATAGCATGATACCATTTCAATAGCTGGTAGGTAAGAATTCATTTTTCTATGCATGGATTTGCTTATTTATTATTTTTCTGTGCCTTTAACATTTTTGGGTATTCATTTGCATCATTATGCCATGGTCATATCTTGTTTTCTGGTTTTTAATGTGTCTTAGTCATCTTTTGTCGTTAATGTCTGACAGATAGCTCTATGGTTATTTCTTTGGTGGAAGCCTGTTCAAGTTGTGCTTGCCCTATCCAAGTTATTCTTTGCTGGTATATTCGTAGTCAGAATGGAGTTCTTTTACTTGTGCTTTACATAGTGGTTATTAATGTATGAATGGGCAGGTGTCTCATTGTTTGCTGCCCTTGGTTTCCTTCTTTACGGAGGGAGGTAAGTTCAAAAATCTTGTGCCAAATTTCCTTATCTAAGTATTATGACATCCTTATGAGACAGATGTAGCTTCTATCATTTCTATTGAACATTGATAATATTCCTCTCGTACTTTGCACATTTCACAACTTAACAACATATATTTTGCTCATGGACATCAGAAATATGTTCAATCCTTTCTATAAAAACTTTTCTTCAATAAAAATCCTCTTAACACCAAAAACAAATGTCGGAAACAGTCGAAACAGAAAAAGATGTGGTTAATGGGATAGTCAATTCACTAGAGATGCTCAACATCTATAAGATGTCCATGGGCCATCGGGTAGCCTGTGATAAAATTAAACATAGAGATGCCTTATGTCAACTATAGCATTAAACACAGTCAAACTCTTGTTAATTTGACTATGTTTCCTGACGTAGCTATTGGAACCATTTCCTTCGGCTCTATTTTTTTGTGACTTAATTACCTACTATCCAGCAACATGCCTCTGGATTTCATTTGTGGCTAGGAGTGTGAGTACTTTGTTGCATTTCTGTGCTTAAAATTTTTTTGAGATCCCCGTGAAAATTAAATAGTTATGTTCTTTTTGGCATCCTTGAAAATATTACAGCTATAGTCTTGTGCTCCTCAACATGCTTAAGGTACCGTTTTCCAATCTATAGCAACAATTTCATGGTACTCATTCTTACCTTCTTCCGGTTAGACCTAATAATCTAATATAAACTGAAATTCCTTGGAAACAATTTCTAATCCCGAGGGATCATATAGAAAAGAATTATGAATGTTGGTCTGTCATCTATCATCTATGTTTCCATTGTAGTTGAAGTCTCCATTGTTTCACTGTTAAAGGATCTTTAATATTAAGAGCGAACTCATTGAGCACGAAATAGAAAATATTTGAATAGCAGTTAACAAGTTCTCAATTATTCAAGTGAGAAGATTGACAGGTGGTGCAACAGTGACTTTGCCTTTGTTCCTAATGCTGACTCCTGTTATATAGGTCTAATATGATACATGCACATGCTTATATCAATGTCAAAGCAATAAGAATACTCATTTAGTATCCAAATATACATAAGACTAGCAGGTTTTTGCACTTATATGGAGAAGGTTCTCTGGACTAATTATGGCATTATAAACATGCTTCAAATACTATTATGCATAATCAGCATTTTCCCAAAAAAATTCAGGCTTGGAGTTGTTACTAACCTTCATTCTTCGTTATAATTGCTTTTATCATCTTCAGACTTTTTCTAATGTTGCAACGGTTTCCTGTTGAATCAAAAGGGCGACGCAAGAAGCTACAAGAAGTATTTTTCTAGATCTTTCAGTTGGCAAAGCTTTTGTCTTCCAAACTTTATCTCTATAGCAAATATTAACTTTTTCTTTCTGTTACCCAGGTTGGATATGTAACCACCATATGTTTCGCTTGTTTCTTGATCAGGTGTATCATGGTATGATTGATAATTTAAGGTTTTCCTTATTGCAATATTTTATTTCATTTCTATTGAATGATAATTGCTCTAATTCTATGTTTTTATTTCACAGATGTGCTTCAATGCGTTCGACAAATCTGCAGACCTTGATGTTCTGAACCATCCAATTCTGAACTTCTTATACTACTTGGTACTATTTCTGTTCTTTATGTATTGCATTTAGATTTGAAAATTTTAATTGACTATCTACGGTCTGTCTAAATGCTTCGAATAATGCCAAAGTCAATTTGCTTGAAAGCTGAAAACCTACCTTTTCATGGTGAAGTTTATTGTGAGCTCACGCAACTAGGATAATATTTCAATTTGTTTACTGAAGAACTTTGATTTAATTTTCAAGGGTTAATTGCGAATAGACCCCTTGTAGTTCTTTTTGTGGCAAGTGGACCCCTGCAGTATTGGCCCAAGTCCAAATACACACCCTTAGTTAACTTTTTCAACTCTTTTAGAAGTACAACAAGTTAGCAATTGGCGGTCTCTCCTTAAGGATAGAACTATAGGGGACCTCCTTATACCTTTTCAACGATTTTAAGAGTCGAAATAAATTCACTGTGCCGGTCTATTCGCAACAATAGAACTACAGGGGGTCTATTCACAAGTGGGTGACGGGGGTCTATTCACAATTAGTCCAATTTCTTATTCTGAGTTGTGCTAACAATTTTGTCAGGTGTAACAAAGGCCTCTCTGATCAACTCCTGCTGTTACCAGTACTCTATTGGCCTGTTTGGATGGAGGGTAAAGAGGGGGAGGGGTAGAAAAATCTAATTTTAACATTGTTTGGGAGTTCCATTTAGGAGGGTAGAGGAGGGGAATGGGCTGGGGAGTGGAGGGGGCGGGCGGTGGAATTGGGGTGTAATGGAAGGGAAGGGGAAAAGTTTCCCTTCCTTCCTTCCCTTAATGTCTTGGAAAACTGTTCTTTTGAGACCTGCATTATAACATATCCTGAAAGCACGGGAAGCGTTTCGAAAGCCTGTATGGCAGCTTTTAGGACTTATCCAGACACTTTCCTGAGTATTACTAAGTTTGCAGAGGAAACTCAAGTGGTATTTGTTTTTGACAGCTAAGAAATAGTAAAAACATAATATTTCTTAAAGAATTACTTACGTAGAACTAAATTATTGAAAAATTACTTACACTGATTTCAAATGCCTAAAGCTTAAAATTGATTGTAGGATGAAGAACAATAACTGGTTATGTTCCGTAAAGAGTCACATTAGACAGTTTATATCGTTTTCAAGCTAAGCAGGCAATCCTCTTTATAACACATTTATTTCTTACTTTTTATGGAGACCTAGAAATCATATTCAAGAATTTGTTGTAATTTTAACCCTAATATATATGGTGAGTATATTATTTTATTTTAGTTAATTAATTAATTCTTTTATTTTTATTTTTATTTTTATTTTTATTTTATTTTTTTTGTGAAGGCTGGTGTGTCATGTCATGTTCATCTGTACCATGCATTATATCGTAATTTGCTGTCCTAATGGTTGCATCTATGCTTTCCCATCTTTATCGTGACTTTGAATTCGAGCCCCTTTAGCCCTGTTAGGTTGTAGGGACTTTTTGCACTAGTAGTATATGATTCTGCATGTTGATAATCATCTATTTGCGTGATGCACCACATGTGTCTAGATCCTGGTCAACCTAAATAATTAAACTTGACAAGATTGAATTTATTTCATTTTTCTCCCTCTCATCATTAGTAATATTCTTCGTAAATACTTGCAGCTGGTGGAAATTCTTCCATCGTCTCTTGTACTCTTCATCCTAAGGAAGCTACCTCCAAAGCGCGGGATCACACAGTACCACCCCATCCATTGATTCCCAAGGTCTTAAAATATAATTGATTCGGGGCTTTCAGAAGACATCTCAAGAAATTTCTTACCAAGGTTGTTCGAAAGGTTGGTTTTTGTTACTTTCAGAACTCCTGTGATCGATCTGTAACATATCTGTGGACGACAGCGTTTCTTTCGTTTAGCTCTTATATGGCGTGATTTCCGCACCTTGTATCTTCTCTAGTTTAAGCGTGTATGATGGTTATTGGATGAAATCCAAGGATCTTTAGTGAGTTTTGTTGGTGATGTTTTGAGATACTAGGCTGTGTTAGTATTATTATCATAACATGTAGATTATTTTTTATTCAATATGTGGTTAATATGTGGTTGAAGTGCGAACATGATTAGTGTAAGAAAAAGAAGAAGAGAGATTTCATGAGTTGAGAAATGTTGCATACTGCTCGGCAGATGAGAAATCCTATAGCATCGTGTATTTCCTTTCCTTTTTTCTCGTGTTGTTGCCAGGGACTCTACTTATAAATGTGTTGAAAACTAGCGAACGATTGTTTGCTGAGGTCCGGAGGATTTCAAGAGGAAGATAAACTTATCCACATACAGTGTATTAATATTAATTAGGGTAGTTGAAATTTGAGTAGACTGGTAGAGCTAACAGTCACTTTGAATGTTAGGGACAGTCACTTTGAATGTTAGGGACTGTTTGGTTCAATTTCTATTAAAAAAAAGAGGGGGAAGTGCTCAAATTTTGATTTCCTTATATTTTTATAAAATTCGTAGGAAAAATTTATAGAACTCGAAGAGTACTATATTTCTTTTCTTTTTTTTTTGTTGCTATTTCTTTGTTTGGTTCAAAACATGAAAAAATTCCTAACTTCATAGAAAATAGGTTGTTTTTTTCTTTTGTTTGGTTGGATATCACTTTATAGTAAATAGATTACTAACAATGCCCATGGGAAATCGCACATGGGAAATCACACGAAGAATGGTACTAACATACTTAATTTTTTTTTTTATATAAGTGTCAGATTTCTAGACAATTTCCTCTCATTTTGAGAGAAAGTTAATTTCTATAAAATACCCCATTTTTTTCCCTACTTTATAAAAAATATTTCTATAAAATTTTTTAAACCAAATATAGTTTATAAAAATCTATTATTTACAAAAATGTTATTGTCTAATATTTTCTCAAAACTTTTCTATAAAATGTGTGAACCAAACACCACCTTAGTTATGGGCCAAGACTCTGGTGGAGATGGAAGTGCAATTTAAACGCCCACAAAATGGGTGTCTTTTCTTTTTTTATTTCCCTTTTTTCATATACTTGTAATGTGGATACGAGCACATCCCAATATTAAGATCCTGCCCCTTTTTGTAATATTACAAAAGTAGTTTGGTATGTGTACTTGTTATGGTACTCTTTTAATAAAAATACTTCTTCTTACTGCTAAATTGCTAGATCCTCTTTTAATAAAAATACTTCTTCTTACTGCTAAATTGCTAGATCGATATTTTAAGATTGACCTCATTTTTTAATATGATATTCATTTGGATCCTGATATCGAACTGTATTTTTTTTGGATGAATGTCTTCCATTCCCTTTACCTTTTAAAAGTTATAAATTACACCCTCTTTTTCTTTCAACCTCCTCCGCTTTAAATTTCTTTCATCCCTCTATCAAGTAAGATCATCATTCACCCTCTCTTTCTTTCTTATCGATGGAGCCCACTCTTTCTCCTTCAATTTCTTCCCATTCAAACACAAAACTCTAATCCAATTGATATGGATTTGGATGAAGGTTATTGGGGTTGGATTAGTGTTTTTGAGTTTGAATTGAGAGAGATTGAAGGAGAAGGATGGGGTCTCATTGATGAGACGAAAAAAGAGGATGAAGGTCTTATTGGATAAAAAGGTGAAAGAGATTTACTTTGGAAGCAATTAAAGTAAGAGGGTATATAATTTTGAGAAGTGAAGGGGGTGGAAAAAAGGTTAGTTTGCTAGAACTAAAGAGCCTTATTGCTAAAAATGTCAAGTTAAAATGTCTAAGTCGCACTAGAGCTTTAATGGATAATCTGTACTATTTAAAAAAGAGAATTTGAGTGTTATAACTTTTGCTTGCCACTTTTACCCTTCTAAATTTTGATAATTCACAATAATGCCTTAAAATTTATTTAATTCATTCTATTTATTACACTATAGTTATTCTTGTAGTAAACATGATAACTAATATTAAAAACTAAATATGTATTATGAATTCTAATCATAAATTTTATTCAATTCATTCTATTTATTGCACTATAATTATTTGCGCATTAAACATAAGAATTGATATATTATAAAATTAACCATATTAGTTTTATGTTAAAATAAGATAAATATTTTACTTTAGATATTAGATATTATACAATAAATATAAAATTTAATATATAAGATAATAATATCATAACTTATATTTATAAATTACATCATAATTTAAGATAATTTAATATTTAATTAAACATCTAATATCTAATCTAATACAATAATATATTGATTGATATGTGCATTTGATGTATAAAAAATCCGTGGAGAGAAATACTAATATAAATGTTAACCTTTTGGTATAATCTAGAAATAGCATATAAATTATCATAATATATGTTATTAACTATTGTAATATACTTATCATAGTATTTGGTGTTGGATTTAATCTAATAAATCTATTTGTGGGCACATATGATTAATCAACGTGTATTGCTATCTTTCAGGATAACCCACTGAAGTGATCAATTAATTTGGGTTAATTGGGTATTTAAATAAGTCATGGGGTTATATGTGCAGATACCAGGTTGTAATTGTGATTTGTTGAGGGGCCAAATTGCAAATGTACAACACCTATAAATAAGGGGTTATGGTCCCTAATCTAGGGTTACATTCTCTAATTCTCTTCACCCCCATCTAGAGAGAAATTCGGCTAGAGAGAACCCTAAGGTTAGAAGATCAAAACCCATCTCAAGTTTAAGCAATGGATTCAGGTATAAGCTTCCGCTCCTTTATGATTCTTGTTAATCTCTTTGAATTAATCAATGGCTATATGGTTTTAGATTTCAAGTATTGATTTAGATCTAACAAGTGGTATCAGAGCCTCCTTGATTTGTTCTAAGAGATTAAGATTAAAATTGGGTTTTTTGATCTTAAAATCTTTGGTTTGGATTCAGTTTTGTTCTCGGATGAACAGTAACGTTTCGGATGAACAATAACGGAATTTTTTCGGATGAACAGTAAAGTTTTTTCGGATGAACAGTAAGTTCTTTCGGATGAACAGTAACCAAAAATCGATGGTGAACAGTAACTTTTTAGAATTTTTTGGATTTTTCCTTTGATTTTTCCTTGGATCTGGATCACAAATTTTTTCTGATTATGGATCTGGTTTTTGAAAATAAAAATCAAGGAATTTTTGGGTTTGGTCGGCGGCGGTTTCAGTTTGGAACTCTAAGGGTTCGTGGCGAAAATTAAGGAGGTGGTTACCTCAAACGAACTTCGCGTTCGTTCTCAGGTGAGCTTCACGCTCAAATTTAACCGAACTTCGCGTTCAGTTCTCAAGTGAGTATCGCGCTCAAATCTAACTGTAGGCGTATAAAATTGCTTATAGATCCCTTAGCACAGCTCAGCACAAACCGACGAACCAACGAGGCGACGAGGTTAACGAATCGTACGCAAACAACGGAATAGATCCACTCGCGTGCGGAATCAAGCTAACGGGTTGAAGAGTCAACGAGTCATCCATCCAAGGGCGGACTCGGACGAATCACGATCGAATCAAGATCAGTTTCGGACTCGAACTCAAAAGTGGATTTACTGCCAAATCAGGAATCAGATTTACTGCCAAATCAGGTCAACGATTCAAGTCCGGATAAATCAAACCACAGAACCGGATCACGGACTGAACCGAAAAATAAATAGGCCATTGAGTGTTCATTTGTAAAGGTTGGATTTTTTGGAGGCGAAGCCCTGCTGGATTCGAAGCTCAGATCTAAAAAAGATTCAAGCTTTGGGACTTTGAAGACTTGCTCATCCAGATCCGGTGCTCGGTGATCGTCAACGCCAAATAAGGCAAGAGTTCGAGAGGACCGGATCTCAGATCTACGCAGGCGTACTCCGGATCAAAGCTTGGTCTTTGATCCCGAGAACTAAAGGCTACTATTTCCTTGGCGAAATAGTACCCTCGACTATTATTTCCTTGGCGAAATAATACCCGTCGTACTACGTAGATCCGACCGGATCTAGATCGCGTGGTGGTCCACGGATAAACCCCGACGCAGGCGAAGAACCCACAAAGCGAGAGACCGCAAAACAGGATCTCGCAATTTGTTCGACAAACAAGGATAAAAAGTTGTAATCTTTCTTTTCTTTTATTTGATTTTCGTTGTAACCGGATCTTATAAAAAGACCGGATCTTTGTAACTCAAAAAGTTGTTATTTAAAGATAGCAATGGAATCAATAATGAAGAAAGACACGATTTTTCCCGCGAACAATCTGGCGACCACAGTGGGAGCCGCCGATTTCGCTGCCGAGATCGGAGCGTCGCAGCCGCGGATCTCAATCCCGGTCGTGGAGGAGGTCGAATACGAGTTCGACCAGCAGAAGTTCGAGGAGTACTTGTCTTCCTCGTCCGGATCAACCTCCCCCCGCAAGTCCAAAAATTTCTCCTCCAGGAGAAAAACTCGTTGGTATGAAGACGTTGAAAACACCAACGAAAATCTCGCCCCGTTTGATGCCAAAGTCGCGTCGGGTAAGATTCCTCCAATTCCCAACCAGTTCGGAGCTGCTCTGGCCAACCCTTCTGCCGCAGAGTACGTGGTGACTCTCTCGAAGAGAGCCCGCCAAAGGCAATGTCAACGCCTTGCGAAACAGTTCGCAAAGGCCATGGAGTCCGTTGACGGGATCCGCTACAACGCGGATCTGAAGAACAAAAGAGGCAAGCAGCCTCAACAAC